ATTTGTTAGAAGAAAAAGAAGAAGGAACAACAATTCCAAGAAACAAACAGTAAGTGTTGGCCAAACTGACACTGTATCAAGAGACGTTCACTCTCATCGTTCAATACGACATATTTCGTTCGTCTTTCCTCTCTTCTCTTCTTTCGCACGCACACTCACTCCTATTGTGTGTAATCCAATGTATATGCATGTCCGCGCTTGAATGTAGAGCGCTCGTTGACTCACAGCGACGTTCGCAGTCACTGCATTCAGTTACTGAGATCTCATCAGAAATTGAATATCTATGCTGAAATGATTCTCTGTGTTGATGTCTATTGTATTTGCCTTGTGTTTAGGAGCTATAGTCCCAAGAAAAAAACCGTTATTCAAACTTTGAAGCTCTCTGGGGAGCCCCCCTGTGGAAAGCGGATCGTAATATTTTGGTTTTGGGGGTTTTGGGGGATGTCCTTTCGAACGCGCATATGCATTTGAAAATCGGCGTGTAACACTATGGGAGGTTTATTAGTCAACAAATTTCCCACAAGAGGAGAGGACTCTTTTTCGTAGTTTTTGGGGCCGCTTAGTCCGGGATTCACCATATTCGAAAATCTGCCATTAGTTTTGCTTTGGCAACCCTAGTAAATTTTCCTGAATTTTTAACTTTGTCATTACACTTGATTGCCAATTTCCACCAAACCAGTGCAGATTTTTTGACCACCTAGCACTTAAAATCTTCGTATAATGTTCCTCTACAACATTCAGAAAAGAAACCATACCAGACTCAACGATATACTGTATTTGGAGGCTCAAAACGCTAAAATGTGGACAAAAACTTCTTGTTTTTGGATTAATCTTTGTACAAAAAGTGCTAAAACTTTGGGTAGAATTGAGATATCGCGACAAATAGAGGATTAAATGAAAGGTTTCGAGATTTTCTTCTAGTTTACAATCTTCTAGTTACTAGCGCCTGGAATATGCTGAAATTGCACCATTGCCATATCTCAAAAACTAGAGCTGCCAGAGCAAAACTAATGGAAAATTCGAATTCAGCGGTCCCAAAAACTATGAAAAAGAGTCCTCTCCTCTAGGAGGAAATTTGTTGAGTATTGTAATGGAAGGAAATCATACTTTTGGAAGACGACAGTGAATGGCTAGCTGTAGAGGTGATTCTTGATCTCCAGTTAATGCATTGTAATCGGCACCTTGATTTAGTAAAAATACTGCTGTTTCTGCGTCCTCTTTCAAAATAGCTTTAATGTAAGAGTCTCAATTAAAGTTCACGTTCATTACCGTAATTTTTGTTTGGTTTGCAATTCTTACCTTAATGTACATCAAGGTAAGAATTAATAAGATACTTACATTGATGCAAGAGCGTTAAATCTTGTCCATTTCTCACATTAACATCAGCACCGCCCTGAATCAAAACCGGCACCAGCTCTTTGGCATCTAACATCAAAGCTAAACACAAGGGTGCATCACCGTCGATTGTTTTTAAATTGAAATCTGGTTTTTCTACACCGGCATTTTTTCTGAAATTCACGAAAACTTGTATAACACCTACACTTTTATTTTCGACCGCAAAGTGTAATGCTGTTTTCATCTCTCCTATACTAGATTGCATGTTTGGGGAAGCACCATTTTCAAGCAGTGCGTCCACTAATTTGGCCAGACTGAATTGACACGCTAAATGCAAGGCCGTTAAACCCGATCGATTAACGAAGTTTACATTCGTATGCCTGGACAAAAATATAGCAGCATCTTCCAGCTTATTTTTTATCAACAATTGTAGAATGCTATCACCGTTTTCAGCGTTATTTTGATTAGATCGTGCGCCTTTCTCAATTAGTTTACTCGCTAAATCAAATGGTGGACCGG